GATGCTTGCTCATTGACTCCATGTATTTACTTAGGTTTCATGCTGATCTTCTGTGATTAAAGCCATTCTTCAAATCCGGGTCAATATAAGTGATTAGATTTTATTTTCATTAGGTAAATCATATTTTACTAGTGCCTTTCCAATACTCCATTTAAGCCACTTGAGCTCAGATATCTTTGGCCACATATTCACGAAATCCCGTGGGTCAGTTCTACAAGTGACTAATCTTACTCATTATTTGTGCTCTCTGGCTATCTGTCCTGTGAGTTAATAACACTTATTATATCTGTGGCTCCATTTTCTTGACTGTAATACTGAAAAATCCAGAAAAGAGCTCCCTTAACATATTTTATCTATGATGATTATTCTGAGTGCATTCCCCCACTGGTGTCCTGTGATTGAGGATACAATATAAAGGGGTCACGAGGGTGGGGAGCGGGAGGGACAAAAGAGGAGCTGATACCAAGGGCTCAAAGAGAAAGAAAATGTTTTGAAAATGATGATGGCAACACATGTACAAACATGTTTGATACAACTGATGGATGGAATGTTATAAGAGCTGTGAGAGTCCCCAACAAAATGATTTATAAAAACAAAACAAAACAACTCTCCTTGCAGAATGATCATTTCCTCTTCGTAAACCTCTTCTTTCTCTGCCTTCTTCTTCGTCATTATCATTACAATTTTCGCTGTCAGAAGTTACTACCACCGAGTAGAAGAGGATTGGGTAGAGTCTGTGCTGTTCTCTTGTCTTAGTGCTTCGCCGTTTAAGGCAGACAGCAGGGAGGTCCCTGATGTCTGCAACGATACAAACGCTTACAAAACAAAAGTCACAAAACAAAAAGCTAGGAGAAAATCTTTCCGACCTAGGGTGCAGGATGACTTTAGATATGGCATAAAGGAGTAAAGGACAGAAGAAAAGGTAGACAAATCGGACTTCATCAGAATGTCAAACAGGGCGCGTCCAAGGAGAATGGAAGAAAAGGGAGTAGGAAGGAGCGCCCGAGTGTGGTGATGTTGATCCTCCACCAAGCAGCTCCATGGAAACCAGGTGTATTTTGGTGTAGCTCTAGCTCTCATATTTAGTTCTATGACTAATTTTTGTATGTGGTATAAGGTGAAGGTCAAACCTCATCCTTTTGCATGTGGAGAGCTAATGATATTAACGCCATTCATTGAAAGACTATCCCTTATCCAATTGAATTATCTGGGCATCTTGCTTTCTTTTAGAAAAAAAGAAACAAATTGTTGAGGAAGAAGCACTCATTAAAATAGAAAAGCAGTTATGTTTATGATATGAAGATGTTGGCTAATGATTCTGGAAACCCCTTGGTTATCATGGCCTCAGTGTAGCATAAAAATTACAACAAGGATTGTGGCATCAACTTGACCAAGTTTGGTGTTCAGCTGTAGCACATGATAGTTATGTGAACTTGACTCTTAGACTTTGTTGGCTTAATTCGTTTAATAGGGATAATAATATCTCATTCCTAGTTCTCAATCCTCATTCAGCCATATATATTTGATGTACACTTTCTTCCCCCAGCTAATACGAAGAGCTTCCAGCAAAACTGGACCACAGGCCAATGTCTTACACACCACAGTTTTTCTTCCAGTGTACACACCCATTTCTCGCCCTGCATTCTTCTCCCTGCTCATCTCAACCTTCTCAATCCAACTATTTATTTGGTCTTTTGGATCTTCCTAACTCACTGTGAGAGTTAAAATGCAGAGAATGAAAATAACCATACAAAAGGGTGTCTGAATTTCAACTGGTAATAATTCAAACTCCAAACACCTTCAAGATCCAAAAGAATAAATTCTACAAATACCGGAATTTCACTTGACTAGCTGCTTGTAGAAACTCTGGTGGTGTAGTGGGTTGTGTGTTGGGCTGTTACCGCAAGGTCAGCAGTGTGAAACTTCTATCTGCTCCTCGAGAGAAAGATGAGGCTTTCTACTCCCATAAATATTTACAACCTCAGGAACTTACAGAGGCAGTTAGTTCTACTGTGCCCTGTAGATGGCAGTGGGTTTGTGTGTTTGGGGCAGCTACTGGAAGAAGGTTATTTGGGAAGAAGTCTGTTCAGTGTACATATGATCTCTAAAGACCTTTCCCAAATTTGATATTTCATGATCCCAAGTTATCCTATTACCTGAGCAGCCACCTCTCCTCATGTATTTGGCTGGCGAGACTACTCTTATTGTTGGATTATTGAAAAATAGATATCCCAGAAAGGAGGATATTTCTGTCTTCATTGACTTTTGTCCCTAATTCTTGTACTTCAATGCCTTCAATGCAAAGTACTGTGAAAATGGGTGTAACGATTGCAGAAGATTCTTCCAGAAGTCTTTTTTTTAAATCATTTTATTGGGGGCTCTTATAACATTCCATACATCAATTGTATCAAACATAGTTGTTCATATGTTGCCATCATCATTTTCTAAACATTTACACAATGCAAAGTAGGACATGGTGAGTGGGCAGAGAAAAAAATCCAAATTTGCTTTCTACCTTTTCTGATCAGTAACCATAGTTTACATTTACTGATGAGAAACAGATAGGAGGCGTATTAGAAACCAGTGACCTGGGACCAGTTTGGGGACCTCTGTCATCATCTACCTCTGCACTTTGGCCTCCGCAGAAGACACACACGTAAGGAAAAGATGACTGAGTTATGTGGGACTTAGCCAAGAGAGGTCCAGCTCCATCTTGGGAGTTCTCTCTGCTTGTTCACCATGCAGTGGGGCTTTCAATTTGGGCATCATTTATAGAAGGGATGGAAAACTATAAAGCTTGGATTTTTCTGGCCCAGGGAAAAATGACATTCACAATGTTGGAGGGCTGGGACTGGCACTCTGTGAGCCTCTTGGAGTGAGCTCTTTCTTCATTACAGCAGTCATTCAATAAGCATTTTCCTGAAAAGGCTTTCATTTGCTTCTTGAGCATCTCTTTCTTCACCCACATACATTCATTTTCTTCTGATGGTACAACGACTTTCTCTGTTTTTCAAATTTCTCTTGTTTTAATAACCACATCTAAGTCATTCTATTGGAGTACTTAATTACCAGGATGGGATTGCATGTGTTGTATTACATTTTGATGGTCATCTGCATCAAAGTTTTCCATGGCACGTTGAGAGTTGGGGCAGTTAAGTAAAAATACTGTGTCCAGCCAAGTTGTCTGCAGAAACAAATTCAGCGATGCTCATATACGTATGAGAGAGAGCGTTATACCAGCAAGCGATCTTTTATGAAAAGAAGGCGCTCAAGTCCGAAAGTGCAATGCTGGTCTACAAGTCCACCTTCAGACTCATGCGGCTGCATGCCAGAGACGCAGCCTGGTAGTTCAGCAAGCAGGAAGATCACAGGCCGTGGGTGCAGAGCCATGTGGGGGCAAGGTCAGTGGGAACATGGCAGGGTCAGGCAGCCCACATGGAGTCCCAGGGAGGAGGAAGGGAAGTGGCAGAGAGAGCGGCGGTGTCCAGCGTCTTTCACTCTCATAGGGAAGGCCACAGCCCCGGAGGAGGTGTCATCAAGTGACCACATGATTGACAGGTTTGACTCCACCTCTAGGAGTGTCCGGTTGACATACAATCACCAAAGTACCACAAATACATAGTTAATAGTCTTGTGTTGACTGCATAACATGGTAAGAAGTGCTAGAAATACTGAATTTCTATTGTGCCAAGGGCTGTAAGTGCCCCCAATAAGATGATTTAGAAATTAAAAAAATTAAAATACTGAGTTTCACATAAGGGATTTTACTTGTGAAGATGTTATTTTATTTTACTTTTTGTGCAATTACAGTATGTTTTTGGATTTAATGGAGGGAACCTATGAATTGAACAAACGGAAAGGTTGCTGCTGGTTAGGCTTTGGGAGTTTGGGCATGAACTCTGAAACACTTACATGCTCACTCTTTAATATGTGAAATCTGGGTGATTTAGCACACAATCTTATCTCTGCACTTGTTCTTAATGGGAAATCATTGAAATACTACTCTGTAATAGGTTTACTACAAGGGATGGGACTATTGTTATTATGACTATTAGTGCCTTATTGATCAACCCCCCCTCCAGGAGTGTCTAACTTATCATTATTAATAATAATTACCTCAAAGGCTTCAGTCAGAGCAACTCTTTCTTGATGATGGGCAGTACACATGCTATTATTCAATGACGAAATAATGCACACACTTAAAGCTCATCTCCAGCTTAATTGGGGAGTTCCGTTAGAAATCTGACAAAAGTGAATGACCTTGTGCTTCCTCAAAAGAGAGATGGAGACATCCCAACGCCAAAGAAGAAACGCCAAGCGGGGGAGAAGATTATGTACACCTTGGTCTCAGTTCCCCATGGCAATGACATTGCGTCTCTTTTTGAACTGGATGCCACAACTCTTCAGAGAGCTGACTGCCTGGTGCCAAGGTAAAAGAAACGTTGCATCTAGAAGATGATACTTTCAGAATAATTTTATCAGTAGCTGAGGAATGAGTACCAAATGTTAATATCATTTTGGGGCATATAAAGAACAAGTATAAATGAAGAAGAAGCATGAAAACCAAGCTTCTTATGTGAATGGATTACCAGCGCTTCCCCCACCTTCTTTCTTAGAAATAATTAAAATGTTCAGAACTAAAGAAATTCTGAAAAATGCATAATACTCATTTATTCTTATTACTTTTGGGGCATTTGGTTTCTAAATTGAAAGATAATTTGAAAGGCTTTCTATGATCACTTCTAATTCATTTGCATTGTGTGAAATACTCAAATTCATTAATTGCTCTACCCATTCCTTCATTTAGTCAGTCCACAGAGATCTATGGATTACATCACAGACATTGCTTTAGTCACTGGGAAGAGAACAGTGAAAGACTGGTTATATCCTTGTCTTCATGGGCCTCTCAAGGGAGAGATAGTCCATAAATAATAAACTAAGAAACATGAACTTATATAGTCGGACATTGAAAGCGTTTTTTAAAAGTAATGCAGGTCATGGAAAGTTCTGTTAGGAAAGAGTGTGTCTAGAAATGTCCTCATGGAGTCCAGACATTGAGAAAAATCTGAATGAATTGAGAAATCATGTCTTCTTCAGTGGGAAATTATTTCAAGCAACGGTGATAGGAAATGCAAAAATCCTAAAATTCACCACATGTGTTTCAGGGCCAGCAGAGAGGTCAGTTGGTTTGGTGGTCAGGGATTGGGGGAAGAGAATTGATCATAAGGATTTAAAGTAAGAGACTATATCTCACTCAGTTTCTTGAATTTTGACTATTATAAGTAAACTCTTCTGCCTAAATATGTCTACTTTCCTACAGTAGGACAAGGATACACTGTCCAGATGCGTTGAGGGACCATGTCTATATTAGGAGGTCTAGTGGCCTGGTTCTAGCTAGGCCATCATAGGACCTTACTGAACTTGACCTTAGGCAGATGGCTATGGTGAGGCTGAAGGAAACTACGTCCACGCAGACGTTGTCCTGTGGGCTCCTTTCAAGGAGGGGGAAGAGTTGCTGAGGAAGTGTCTAACTGTTTGAACTCCCCTGGTGTCTCTTGGCCATTCACATTCATGAAAAATGGGGCCAAGTGTTGACCTTATTCCAGGAAGGTGTACTCGTCCTCCTTCCACCAGTGTACACCCGCGAGGAGTTCCGCTCTAGGCAGACTCAGCTGTGTGCCATTCTCTCCCTAGCACCGGGATCTTGATGCATCCTTACTCTGACTCGATCTGGCAGATTTAACTGAGCAAAAAGGGAGCTCTTCTAGGATTACAACCAAGGGAGTTTGCTTAAGGAAATTATATATATAAAAAAAGATCTCACTGTAAAGTGCGTACACAAGGCCCCTGAAACTAGATTTGTATGGAGGTGCTAATCTATTACTGGCCTGAACAATTGAAGCACTTTTCAGTGGAATATAGAATTTTATATTAACGGATTAATTTTTTGTTAATCTGTATTCAGGCTAATTTTAAGTAATAACAGCTATTCTTAAAACTCTCAAACACTTTTTATATGTGTTCGTTCCTGTGCCAAGTTATCAATGAGCATGATCTTATTTAATCCAGGCAGCACCTCATTTAACAGACCAGGAAATGCTGCTCACTTTAGTTGTAAATTAGAATTACTTAGGTGGCTTTGAAAACTCGTATTTTGAAGGCTGCACTGTGACCAATAAAACATCCGGGGTGGGATGCAGGCTTTACTT